ATATTCATATATATATACATATATGTATCATATATCCATATTACAATATGATACATAAATGTGTCTATTATATTGTATAAAATCATATTTGTGCTACACCTAATCGATGTAAACCACCCCTTCATCGCTTCAGTAACGTATCTATATTTTCACCCTTCTCTGCAATTGATATATACATGTAACTTTGAGAGACTTATAACAATAACAATTAATTAACAGTAAGCGGATGGTAGGGGAAACGACTGCGACGACGACACGACTCGATTTTGTTAGAGAGGAGAGTATTTGGATTCGTAGAGTATTCGCGAGTCTTTTTTATCCGATTTTTGTTTTAAAGTTTCTAGCTTGGAGAAAACCAGGCTAGAAACTTTTATAGAACCGGCATAGTGTGGCGGACGAACGTTCGGAGTAAATACAGTGGCTAAATCGTCTTGCCATCGGTGTAGTTGCTGGATTCATAGAGCAATCCTTTGATCTGAGTCAATTCTGCCAACAACGTGTTTACTGTCACGGTGGTTACTTGACGAACATGTTCTCTGAAACACACGAACATACGATTCCGTATTTCCGATTTCTGTATTTTAGCAATTTCGTATAAATGGAAAGCTGCGATAACGTAAAATTTCTTTTTATAGTGCTCTTTGAAATTTAAAAATATTAAGTAGATAAATAGTATTTTTTTTAAATTATAAATTATTTTTAAAAAATATAAATTACTTTAATAATTATATTTATATACGTGCTCCTTAATCGTTTTTGCGAATAATGCCAGAAGCTTATTTCTTGATAAAAATATTGTACTATGAATCTAAAACTTTTGAAACGCTATTGTCTTGCTCCTCCACTTAAAAAAATGATAACTCGGGAAGTAAATCGAAGATCTGTCATTTTTGTCATCTTTCATGTTTAATGAAAGAATTCTCTCTTACAATTAGCATACTTTAGAGCTCTGCTCTCTATATATGCTATATGAAAAGATTATAAAAAGAATATATAACTGTGAAGGACCCGCGCACAAACGACATGAAGATTAATTAAAGGAAGGAAAATGCGAAAAAGATTCAGATTTCGATCAATTGATGAACTGCTGAAATTGATGGGAGGGATAGAATTTGCAAGAGATTAGAATGTGTGCACTCGAACATGCACACACACAGCTATAGAGTGAGTGTGAATGAGTATGCGCGCGTGTTCGCCCCCGGAATTACAGCTTCAGGAATTTGATCATTACCGGTGGTCGTTCGTTTCGGAGATGGTGATAATAACTCTTACTCTCCGGTCGGTCGCCATAATTGCGAGATGCATCATCGTGCATGATCGTCGTGCATCAACATAATATGTATTCGAAATCAGCATCAGAGCGTTTCCGAATGCTTACATTCTGTCTCGATCATAGAAATGATTCCTGACAACACTGATGTATAAAAGATACAAGGACGTCTCTAAAGGATATGCCAAACGAAAATCTTTTAGATATCTTTTACACTTTTGTGTTGTCCGGACCTTAGGATGCGACTTTAAGTAAAGAAAACCTAATGAGATTTATTTACAGAATTTATATATATATTTTTTTGAGGGCTAAGATTAAGCGCTGCACCGTAGGTGAATTTTTCTTCATCGACAGGCGCGTTGATCAAGTAATTATTTATTTTTTGCGCCTGCGAAACGAAAAATAAAACATCCCATTATAGTTTCCTCCGGGAAGAGTAGCAGCTCGCTCACGTAGCTGCTACTTTTCGTTGTGAGGAAGGTCTCGCCGCACGTGGATCATGAAAGTATGATGACGTCGGGCTTGGTTGATTGGTGTTTCAGTCGCCGGACACACAGGCGTGGCAGAATGATTACCTGCAGGGCACGGGCTGCGAGATGTACACGGAAACCCTCTCCCCGTCCTTTACCGGGATGACATTTCCCCAAGCCAGCGAGTAAGTTCTCGCTGCCAATGGTTGTCACACACATAAACGTACCGAACAGATACTTACGCCAGTCACGCGTGACACACAAATACAATTATACGGACCATCATACAGAACATTCATACGAAGAAAAAGCGATATACATACAATACAGGAACATGCAATATAAAATACACTCGGTTACGAATTTATTTTCCTTCTGTCTCTTTTTCTCTCTTTGTATTATATCTTCGTCTCACGAATTACTAAATACATTGAACTATTCTGTGATACCGAAAAAACGTACATATATATTATATTACAACATATCATGAAAACGTATATATATATATCGCCCCTCACCTCGGTCTTTTCAGTCTTTGAACGATTTTTTTCTTTCCTAGTCTCTTTTATATTCGTCTTTGTCTATCTCCTTCTGTTTGGATTTTGCGTAGATTAGTCCATTTTTGAGCTGTATAAATCCATTCACTTTTTCTCTCTTTTTGCCTCCGTTCGATCGTGCCTCGATCATTTTTTTAATCATTTTTGATTTTTATTTTCGAACTGCTCGAAATTCTGCACAGATCTTTGTGAATTGCGTAGAAATAAAGTAGAGAAAAGTAATGACGGATGAATGCGGACATTGCTGCACGCCAAGAGCCGAAACCGATCGTGCTCGGTATAATTGGAATGCTTGATTGGCAACCGGGGAATCGGCTCGCGGAAACGAAAGTGTTTCATACGTTCGGGTCGCGAGAATTGCTGGAAATCGCATACCAGCGCACACGATTTGCGTGCGAATGAGCGCGCTTCCGAAAATGTTTCTATCGGGAACAATTTTAACGACCGTATCGAGACCGCCGAACGATAGCGTCTCCATATCTCGACATTGTTTTATGGATCAATTGATATCGAGATTGGAATTGCGCGTTGCTTAATCCTTTCACAGCTTTTGATTCGTATACGCGATTCGCACAAGTTCTTTCTCTGCTTTTTAACAACTTTCTTCTTATTTTATTTGCTTTTCTTCTTTCTTTTTTTTTTTGTGCTATTTGATCAGTTATCTATTTTATGCGATTATTTATATTATCGCGTACGAACGATTGTAAAAAGTAATTAAAGAACTTAAATTACGAAGTTCGCGTGAAATTTATACATTAAATGTCACGAATATGACTTAATTGACGACCTTGAGGATTTTAATCTCAAATTGGCTCGCGCACAATATCGTGACCGACAGCTGTTCTTGTAAGTTTTAAGTAATTACGATTAGACGCGCGTGCAAGGATCGTTGCAAAATCCGCATTCGTCCTAATAAATCGTGCATTTCGCTTCGACAATATTACAGTTCTTTTACGGCGCAACGTGAGACGAAATGAGAAAGAAGCGTACTGTGTCTTTTTTCAAATTTTGATTTTATCGAGGGAACAAAAAATAACATATATAGAGAGATTGTATATTTTTGAATATTTTTTATATAAATATTTTTGACCATAAGACGTAACGGGCAAGATTTTTGGTTTTTTTTTTGTCAATAATGTCCGTATCCTTGTCATGGTGTGTGTTCTTAGATGTAGCGTTCTAATTTCTCTTAACAAAAGCGCGTTCTTTGTACACGCATGCCTGCTGCTCTTTACCATGTAAAAGTATGTGAAACTTATTTTGGTAACACATTGACACAGGTTATTGGGCAAGTACGCGGGTGGTTATCGATCGTAGTTCTGCCGATTAAATATATATTAGTAAGCACTGTTCGTTAACAGACTTTATAATCGAGCTCGCAGTTTTGTCTTTGCGAAAATTATAGGGGGTATAATTTAGACACACGCACAAGCGACTTGCAATCAGAATTATTCATATGGCTATCTTGTAATTAAGAGACACATCTATAAATATTTATATTTTATAAAAAAACTAGCAAAGGAATTTAATTTTTTCTGACAGGAAAGTTTTTATTTCTGCAAATTTTATTTACTTATATCTTATTACAAAAATGAAAGCTAAAGTACAAGTATTTACTATAAAAACACAGAAACAATTCGACGCGTTTTAATTCTTACACAGTTATATATTTTATTTTGATTGCAAATCACTGTATGCAAATATTATTGTATGCGAAATTAAAATAAATTAAATTAGAAATTATTTATAAGACAAACAAGCACGTCTTCTTTCCGTGTCGGTACGAGTTCTTGCAGTAAAAACTAAATATTATAAAAAAATATTAAGCCTTCAATACACAATCAACATAGTTAAAATATATTTCTTAAATCGACAAAAATATATGATAAATAGCCATAATATATATTATTTGAAAAATAGTTTTACAGAGAATTAAGAAAATGATGAAAAATTTCTAAAGGCAAAATAGATGTGCCGTTTATTTAATACCCTTTCTCAACCGCCTAAATTGCACCGTATTCGCCTATCAAGATTGCATCATTGATTTCTGTGATTTTTCTGTGATTGTGAGTTTTCCTATTTTTTAAATAATATATTCAACACTGGAAAATTGTCAGCAATTTTGTTTATAAAAATATCGCAATAGCAATATCTTTTGTATAAGCCATTAAATATTTACAAATTTTTACGCAAATTATTAATTTTAATGTGATAGATTTCGTATTTAATAATTAATGGCAATGGAATTTAAAGTTGCATATATATGAAAAAATAAGTAATCGAGATTGGAATTGCGCGTTGCTTAATCCTTTCACAGCTTTTGATTCGTATACGCGATTCGCACAAGTTCTTTCTCTGCTTTTTAACAACTTTCTTCTTATTTTATTTGCTTTTCTTCTTTCTTTTTTTTTTGTGCTATTTGATCAGTTATCTATTTTATGCGATTATTTATATTATCGCGTACGAACGATTGTAAAAAGTAATTAAAGAACTTAAATTACGAAGTTCGCGTGAAATTTATACATTAAATGTCACGAATATGACTTAATTGACGACCTTGAGGATTTTAATCTCAAATTGGCTCGCGCACAATATCGTGACCGACAGCTGTTCTTGTAAGTTTTAAGTAATTACGATTAGACGCGCGTGCAAGGATCGTTGCAAAATCCGCATTCGTCCTAATAAATCGTGCATTTCGCTTCGACAATATTACAGTTCTTTTACGGCGCAACGTGAGACGAAATGAGAAAGAAGCGTACTGTGTCTTTTTTCAAATTTTGATTTTATCGAGGGAACAAAAAATAACATATATAGAGAGATTGTATATTTTTGAATATTTTTTATATAAATATTTTTGACCATAAGACGTAACGGGCAAGATTTTTGGTTTTTTTTTTGTCAATAATGTCCGTATCCTTGTCATGGTGTGTGTTCTTAGATGTAGCGTTCTAATTTCTCTTAACAAAAGCGCGTTCTTTGTACACGCATGCCTGCTGCTCTTTACCATGTAAAAGTATGTGAAACTTATTTTGGTAACACATTGACACAGGTTATTGGGCAAGTACGCGGGTGGTTATCGATCGTAGTTCTGCCGATTAAATATATATTAGTAAGCACTGTTCGTTAACAGACTTTATAATCGAGCTCGCAGTTTTGTCTTTGCGAAAATTATAGGGGGTATAATTTAGACACACGCACAAGCGACTTGCAATCAGAATTATTCATATGGCTATCTTGTAATTAAGAGACACATCTATAAATATTTATATTTTATAAAAAAACTAGCAAAGGAATTTAATTTTTTCTGACAGGAAAGTTTTTATTTCTGCAAATTTTATTTACTTATATCTTATTACAAAAATGAAAGCTAAAGTACAAGTATTTACTATAAAAACACAGAAACAATTCGACGCGTTTTAATTCTTACACAGTTATATATTTTATTTTGATTGCAAATCACTGTATGCAAATATTATTGTATGCGAAATTAAAATAAATTAAATTAGAAATTATTTATAAGACAAACAAGCACGTCTTCTTTCCATGTCGGTACGAGTTCTTGCAGTAAAAACTAAATATTATAAAAAAATATTAAGCCTTCAATACACAATCAACATAGTTAAAATATATTTCTTAAATCGACAAAAATATATGATAAATAGCCATAATATATATTATTTGAAAAATAGTTTTACAGAGAATTAAGAAAATGATGAAAAATTTCTAAAGGCAAAATAGATGTGCCGTTTATTTAATACCCTTTCTCAACCGCCTAAATTGCACCGTATTCGCCTATCAAGATTGCATCATTGATTTCTGTGATTTTTCTGTGATTGTGAGTTTTCCTATTTTTTAAATAATATATTCAACACTGGAAAATTGTCAGCAATTTTGTTTATAAAAATATCGCAATAGCAATATCTTTTGTATAAGCCATTAAATATTTACAAATTTTTACGCAAATTATTAATTTTAATGTGATAGATTTCGTATTTAATAATTAATGGCAATGGAATTTAAAGTTGCATATATATGGAAAAATAAGTAGTACTTAAATATTTGTTAAATATAAATCAATTTGAATTAAAATATTTTAAATAAAACCAATCACATAGAATTTTTTAACGACATATTCCAGTCAATGTACAGAGATCAGTGAACTGCATCATTCGCGATACAGAGAGCTATATAATTGTTTCGAGTTTTCTCTTTTGATTTTTATGCGCACACTTGGATTATCGCCATTATTTGGTTTGTGTGTGTGAGAGATCTACTTGTAAGAAGCGATTTTCACATTGAATACAATATATAATACTTTTATTACCTTTTTACACCGTATATCATATATATACAATCGTATATATAAAATGCTTGTCGAACGTTAGTTAATCTGTTGGATCCTTACACGGATGAGACCGGATCTCCTGAATGCCTTCTGAAACTTTGAACTAGATTAGGAACTTAGAGTGTAATAGATAGCCTATAGAAAGCGATAGAAACTTTCGATATATCTTGGCATGCTTCGGCTCGTATTATTAGATAAGTAATGATCGCGTTTACGTAAGACTTTCCTGCATGATCGTTTGAAATTAAATCATCAATATATGTTGCATCGCTTGCATGATTGTTTAATAAACATTCGATGTTATCACGTAAATATAAATCGAAAGCTCAACCGTTTCTGAGATATAAACATTTATTAGTATATATTATATTTGAAATTTAATTTTTTAAATAAATGTGAGCAATGTACATTTTTAAATACTTTTGTATTTGAAATAAGATTTATCTCTGCATTTACTGGTGATCAGTGTCCCGTTGCGCTGTGGGTGTGTACACATATCTTACTAACACATATTCGTCAATTAATAATGCTAAACGAAGTTTATAAAGTATGAAAATTTCAAATTAAATTACATAAGATATTAAATAATGGTCATCATTTTTAGATATAGTATCTTTTGAAGTAATGTTTTGTATAATAAAGTATGAATAATAAAAATAAGTACTTTAATATAGATATCTTTATTGGCCGTACTTTTTATGTATTACGCATTTTATCATGTGCACTCAAATATAATATAATCTGATGGAAATACTTTATGCTACGTTTGCATTTAATATATATTTTCCTGCAAAGAATGAAACTTGTATTCGTATGCACAGATGCTCGTATATAAGTAGTTATTGTAGGATTTATATAATTTTTATATGCATATGAAATACTTTTGTATTTGAAATAAGATTTATCTCTGCATTTACTGGTGATCAGTGTCCCGTTGCGCTGTGGGTGTGTACACATATCTTACTAACACATATTCGTCAATTAATAATGCTAAACGAAGTTTATAAAGTATGAAAATTTCAAATTAAATTACATAAGATATTAAATAATGGTCATCATTTTTAGATATAGTATCTTTTGAAGTAATGTTTTGTATAATAAAGTATGAATAATAAAAATAAGTACTTTAATATAGATATCTTTATTGGCCGTACTTTTTATGTATTACGCATTTTATCATGTGCACTCAAATATAATATAATCTGATGGAAATACTTTATGCTACGTTTGCATTTAATATATATTTTCCTGCAAAGAATGAAACTTGTATTCGTATGCACAGATGCTCGTATATAAGTAGTTATTGTAGGATTTATATAATTTTTATATGCATATGAAATATTTCCTTTATTTTCTTTAACTTCAACAAAAATGGTTTCATATGAGAAGCAGAAGTTCTTGTCTTTACGAATTCAAGTTTTATTGTTTGCCTAACGCGTACGATACTGAGTTGAATTTCTCAAGTAGCTCTTCCTTATCTTCTATTTTCTTAACATTGGTTTGTAATATATTATAAAAATTTATGCTCTTCATACTTTCAGCATTACTTGTAGATATTTATTATATATTATGATCGATATTTTATTTGTCGCTGTAAAATTTTTATATTACACACAAAATGCTATTCAGATTTTATCGCACATTATTATATCTATTTATAATACAACTCATTATCAATGACGTTTCTTATTTGCTTATCATAGTAAATAGCTCTCTATTTTCTTGTATATAATATCATCACGTCCATATAAAAATGTATTATACAAAAACAAGCAAAATGTATGCAAACTCTGTTAGCTTGATATACAATTGATATACTTGCGAGATATCAAATGTTATGCATGACTTCGTCGTAGGTTGTGCTTCACAAAACTGAAGCTTTTACTACTGGCCATCGAGATAAAGGGCGAAGGAGGCTCCGACAGTAAAATCTCGATTAATCCACGTGGTGCCAAGATCGCTGCAAATACTCAGGGATTCTTCATTGCTCAATCTGCTGACGAAGTAAAACGGTAAGAATATATTTTGAAACATTACTAAAACAGTTTAAATCAAGAGTTTATTTAGATATTCTTGCTCAACATTTAGCTTTATTAAGATTTATCATTTGCCGACACAAGGTGGTACTCAAAATGCAAATCAAACATATTCGAGTAATCAGGATATTTTCTATGACAATATGCGACAATAATTTATGTGCAATATAGCTTAGAACAATTTTGCAATTTTCTGTAATATAATGTAACAAGTAATATATCTAGTAGTTTATTCTTTTTTTAATTATTTATATTAAATTTTATTAAATTAATCTGTTATTCTCTTTCTCTCACATATATATATATATATTATCAGCTTAATTTTTTATCGAATAAATAAAAATTTAAGTGATATCTTTCTTTACAATTTGTATGACTAGTGGTCCTTGTTCTGTTTATTTTCAGGGCGTGGTTCTATTGCAAAGCATGCCACGATGAAATTAAAGACGAGACTCTGATCAAGAAGTGCAAGTGCAAAAATTGTAAGTCTTTCTAGCCCAGTGATCCTTTACAACAGTCTTTTTCGATTCTTGCCAAATTTTCTGCCTAAACGATATTCGAACTTCTCTTTCGCCGGTTATTATACATATGTTTATATCTGACATATAACTGTACACAGATGTACATAGAACGCGCTCAATCTATCAATAATATTGCGAGTCTCACACGCGTTTTATCTCTACCCGTTCTCTCTGTCGATCGATATCGATGGAATGTTGCATTGCCATCGGTGTGGCTCGCAAAATTAATAAACATCTCGACATGTAAAATAACGTATAAATGCGAACGGATCACGCAGGAAAGCTCTCTTTATCTCTTCTTCCCCCTCCCCCATATTCCGGTTTCTGCCGGTTTACCCTCTTTTAGTCCTTTTGCCCGTTTGAGAGCGCAATAACAGTAATAAATGCGACTATTAACGAAGTGACACGGTTGTGACCATCCTATTGTGATATATGATCTAGTGGGGCATCAGCAGCGTTCCTGGGGCCGGGACTTAGGTAACGTCTCTCACACTCGTTCGTTATAAGTCTGGTACTTTACTATCATCTGTAACTATCTCTTAACACTTATTTTTATCTCTTCTTATCTATTTTGTATACGATATTGGCTCTTGATCCAACCCCTTCACTCGCCAAACATCAACTAACTGGCTCGCTGCTCATAACCATTTGATTGTACCATCTACTGTTCTGCCTCTGTATTAAGACTCTGTTTTTCGCGCCTTGCGATTATCTATTATCCTTCTGTTAAGTTATTTCCTTCTTTTTTTATTTCTCTCTTTCTTTCTCTATCTCTCTTTCTCTTTGTCTATCTCTCTCAGTGTCTTATCGATACATATATGCCTCCCACAATAATCAATCTCTTGCAAGTCAAGATGATGATTATGAGGATGATTATCATAATGACGATTATCATCAATATAACGATGATTACATCTTTAATCATTATTGCAAGATACAATTCCCAAGACGATGCAACGATCGAGTACTTCTTTGTTTTTCATCGTCATGTCGCGCATTTATTGTCCTCGAAAAAAGCCGAGATTCTGCTGTTCGGAAAGTAATATTTTTACGTATACCAGTGTATACAACGATAAAATGGAAAATTTATCGCGTATCTATCATTCGAGAAGTCCAAGTCGCTTCGTGTTACGCAACATGTTGAATGTAATCAATTTATTTTGTTTCGAGAAAAAAAAATCTTTGCGCTTCAAATGCGCGATAAATGACGTGAAAAATGAAGTACCGACTCTCAACACGTAATTTCCGATAGTCCAGTCAGTTGGCGCATGCCCACCTGACCGAGAACGAAAGTTAGCCTGCACTAACTAGTGTATATTCCCCCCCCCCGCCGCCCCTGCCCACGCTCGCCTTGCATGCATGACTAGCTCCCGGATTCGGAATCGTTTATGCCATAATGGTAATGACAGCTTCTTTCTTAATCACTGTCTGTCTTCATCCTCTTTCTATATCTCGCTGTCTCCGTTCTTTTCTCCGAAACTACCCCCTTCGATTGTGTGCCAGCTCTCTCTTTTTCTCTCGCTCTCCCTTTCTCTATCTTTCTCTCTTTGTCAACGTGCTAGCTGTGTTATCGAGGAGATTCCTCGCCGATCGATCGGCCCGATCGGCCGCGATCGAGTCGCGAATCTTCACCGCATTCACGCGCGCTCTCACGTTCGCCGGACGTCTCTCGTTCTCGAATCGCCGTGAAATTGGGCCGTCCGGTGATGCGCAGACGACAGGAGCATTCCCTATTCGTCCTACGAACGACGAAACCTCGTCGTACCGTTCAGGGCACATCGGGTAGATCCCGGGTCGCCCCCACCGACAATTCCGTCCATGTCACACGCGACATACCGCATTTTGGATTCGTACACTCGTACACAATACCACATATACACAACCACATAAGTCTCCCCCGAGTAGAGCGACTTACCGCTCAATCACGATCAGTCTTGTCCGCATTCAGGAATGGTAATACTCTAAACCCTGGGCAATCAACGTTGTTCCCGGTACCCGTATCTCATTCGAGCGATCTGAAATCGGTCGAACGATTGCGACCGACGTTAATCCGATCGTTTTAGGTTTCACAATCAGCAGGTGTGACGGAAAAATTTGTTAAAGGTAATTCGCTTCGATGAGCGAGCTTATTTTCTGTTTTTTCAGATACCTTGGACGTATCTATTTATGGTTAAACATATTGTGATTAATGCCGTGCTCGAATTCGTACGTGAACCGACGCGGAGCGTTAATTTTCTCTTACATCATTGCTATTTTATTGTAATGTCGGCTGCTATACAAAATGATATTGTATACCTATTGGAAGAAATTTGAATAAAAATTTTATTCGTTGAATTTTTACATAATATTATTAAAAATATTTTTTCGCGATTAATGATATATTCGACTTTTTATTCTGTATTTTTTTCACACACAAAAACACATGCAATTTATTCGCGCGTATGTGCACATACGAATTCCGCAAAATATTCTGTTATTACTAAAAGAATGTATCGTGAATACCAGCCGTTCATGTTTTTTCCCTCCTGTATTATATATGTTTGTTTATTTACTCATAAACCCGTGTCCGGGTCGATCGCTGGATTTTTACAGATGTGGGGATGATGATGATGCAGACCGGCATGGTGAAGGGAAACACTGCCTACAGCAGTTACCTCGACGGTACGCCTGTTTCCGGCTTCCTGTTCCATCCCCTCCCGTACATGCATATCCACTTGTCGCAGCTCTTGCGAGAATTTGTCAGTATAAATGAATGCATTCACGTGAATCGATTTAAATTAATAATATCGTGTTTCTGAAAGATGATCTAAGAATTTTTAATTGTCAATACTTTATATTCGTTATTCTGACAAAATATGTTCTGCCAGACTCGATATTTTTCCTACTCGTGTACTCCAAATGTTACCGAGTAACGAGTTGATATAAATATCGTTTGGTGCTTTATTTGCGATATTATAAAAAATTTCCGCGTCCGGCAGAACCAGGTGGGCCTAACATGTAACGAGGTAAGATGGTGTAAGTGATACAGAACATGTAAGAGCTCGACAGACGGGGACTATTCGTCTTACTTATCACATGCACTTACTCCACAATACCCGTATGCGATATTATTCCACCTGGATTCGTTCGACTCGTACTGTTTATCGTTGGGCTTTCGCTAGAACTGAAATGGTATTGAGCGAGTTATCGCCCTCTAATAGCAGCATACAATTACGTTACGTAGCACTAACATTGTTGGCCGCTTTTTCCTCTTCTTCGACACATGGGCCGAGACCGAGTAACAAGCACGCCGGTTGGACGAAAAAATGGACGGTCGCAAATCGATTAATTATTGCGTAATGTTTAGCTTCGTACATCACAAAATACAATACAATGGTCGCTTCCGCGCAGAAACGCATTCTTGCACGTTATCCCGAGCAGTATATTTTGTGTCCTCACTAACGTTAAATGGCCTGCCACCTAACACCAATCGACGGGTTTGTTTATATCGTATTTCAGGCTTGCTAATTATCGTTCTTAATTGTTGTTTCAGTGTGCTTACATGGACTTTTATTGATAATTTATATATCGCATCAGTTTCAAATTATCACGCATGTTATTCATATGTCATGCACAAAAGTTTTCTTTTTTCTTTCTCCAGAACGTGTTTGCATCGTTGAGATAATGATCGTGACAATTTGAAACTGGGATCTGTGTATATAAGGTTACCTAATATTGTATATTTTATATAAATGCCATTTTTTCTATATTTGTAGCGTATATTGAGCGCAATTAATATTATTACTTTGGGTCACCTTGTATATAATTAATACATAAAAGTATGCATTGTGTTTTTGCACAGATTGAACGTTTTTCGTGAAAATTGTTTTTCTAAAAATTACTGTAAAATCATGCATTTGTAAGTTTGAATTTTAATAAGCAAGTATTAATATTAGCACAAATATAAGCAAATATAATTAATAATCTTTTTAATATATCGTATATTAACTTTTTCACGAAAAACGTTTTTTTTTTATTGCGCTATTTGCGTAATAAATTGTTTAATTAATTGTTGTGAAATGAAGCTGTTGCAGTAAAACTTTTATGTTAATTAATTTTTCTATTAATTTTTCTACTAATTTAATATGCCCTAATTGCAATATTGATTATAAAAGTAGATTATGGTTGCAGAGGCCCATCTTGTGAGAATCTTGTGCCAATGTTCGAATATGCATTTATGAATATTTTTGCATCTATAACTAGAAGAATATTTAGAAAACTTTATATATATATATATAATTTTTTATATTAAATTTTTGACAGCACATTGGATATTGCTTAAGAAGTTCGGGGTATTGTTACATACATGTTGTTGTTATTCCTTTTTCTTATATTTAACTTCAGAATGTTTTAATAGCCAGGAAAGAAACTACGGCAGTGCGTTATTAAGTACAATATTGATCGTGCACACGTGGAATTCCGTTTCCGTGATATAGTTTCAATGTCGCTAAGTGCGCGCCGGGTGATTAATTGGATTCAGCACGCAACCAGAAAAAGCACCAAGACGAAGCTTACCATGAGCTTATACAGCTTACAGGGACGATGATAATCGATGCCCAGGGTTTATCGAACACGTTGGCTAAAAATACCTCATTCCCACCTCACATATCCGAGCATATTTGACACCACTCACCAACATCACATCACAACAATAACGCCGACACTCTGCAAACCGATATTGACTTCTGAGAAAAAGATTTTTTCGATATGAGATATATTCCTGAATATTGAATGCTCAACCAGCATAGCGCAGATATATAATCTTTATATGTTACGACCCTCACAGTAGGCCGAAGTAAATTATGCAATGGTTGTAACACCAGTGTTTTAATAATAAATCTCTCCATCGAAGGTCACGTTGCAGTAAGCTACAACGAGATATTTTCGCAAAAAAAAAAAAAAAACGGGAATATATTCGTAATTTATCAAATCGGTGACGCGCCATCGACATTCTCTCTCTCTTTCTCTCTTGCCAGAGTTTTTTTTCGGAATTTATTTCTAGCGATTCTTATATAAATTGAATATACGCGCATAATTTATAAGCCGATTTATTAAATATAATTATTCAGAGAGACATTGTATATATATATATATATAGAAAGTTAATTTCAATTAAGAGAATGTGATTTGAATAGCAGAGGAAGTATAATATAAAAATTTCTAATAATCCGATCCTGGATAGAGATAAGTCGCATTGAATACTAAACGTGACATATCGATCGGAACCACGGATTTAGATCCTCCCCACACCCGTTGAAACCCCCGCATCTAGGTTGACATTGTTTTGGTGTGACAACTAACAGCTCTGGTTCTCCTCCCTTCGGGCAGTGGCCACATTCCGGAAAGGCGTGCGAGCTGTTCAGATGGTTGGAAGAGCAAGTACGTATCGTGTGTAGACTGTGTATCAAATGTCATTTTTCTATCTTAATCCCGATACGGAGATTTATACGAAATAAATTCATCGAACGCGGGGTTTGATTGTAAAAGAAAGGAAAAGAAAGATTATAAAATTTTAATAGCGGCATGACCTTTAACTCGAAGAAAACCTCAGTCTTCTTTTATTAACAAAATTATAATTTTTATTAATAACGAATAAAAGTAAGAAAAACAATATCCTCTTTATTTCGTAAACGATATACAATTTGAGTATCGATTTAGTATATAAAGGCAAAATTATTAGTAATAAATCGAATCAATTATTCCAAAATAATGATGATGTACTATTATATTAATTGTACAGAATGTTAAAATCATATCGGATTATTATTTTTTATATCAAGTAACTTCGATTTAAAGGTCATGTATTTATAGTGCTCTCGAATAATAATATTTTTTTTTAATTTGACGAGTATAAAATTCAGAAAGCAAAATTTTCTAATTTAAAATGCGAAACAAAGTCAGATGACAAGACCTTGACGATTATAAAAAAAGATTCAAATATATGTATTCATAATTTTTGTAATTATATAATTGTATTGATATTTCATATCAAAAATATTAATCGTAAATTTTAATTACTTTTTTTTTTATTATTTCTCTTTTCAAATAATCAATAAATTTGTTTCTCGTCAAGGCCTATTTTGTCGATAAATTCTCTGCAGTTGTAAACGAAATATCACCAGACAAAAAGATTACTATTTACATGTTCACATCAAGACTAGCACAACGTGTGAAAATATCACAGAGATTTTTATGACTAATGCAAGATACATATATTAATTTTATTCTTACTTATATTTCGCGTTAAGGTTTAACAACAAAATTATAATGTCGTTGTGCTAATCTGCCAAAGTTCGTTTGAATTAATAAGTGGTTCCAGCGTAGAACATCGTTAGTGTTTGAGTCCCTATTGGTGTGGTGTTCTTAATTATTTTGCAACCGAGATTACACTACTATCAGTGTCGTTTTGAATGTAGTTTTCCTGAAAGTTTGTCAATGTTACTCAATGGTAATTGTTGTGAATTATGAAATTAATTCAATTGAGAATCGGCGTGATGTAACTGCCTTGAGTCTTAAACTATCTCCAATTAATCTTGCATCGGTGTTCTACATCTAATGATTCGACGTGTCATTTTAGAGATATTTTAGTATTAGCTCTTTTTATTGCGTGGATTTTTACTCGTTCTATAATAGAGACAATCGTGTTGATATCAAAAAATTCGTTAAACGTCGTTATATATATTTCTGTATTTCTCGGATATTTTCGACGTTATAGCAAACGACGTCTCGTGACAAACATGAGTGTTAATCATACTAGGTATGGAGTACCTATGTGTTACGAAAATCCGCGCAGAACATCCTTCGAACACGTCGACGTCGCCAATCCCGTTCGCGTTATCGGTCAATCAGACAAACGTTATACTCTTGGATTGACGGCAATAACGCGCTGTCGCGCGCATGTCGACGGGTGTTCCGCGCTATAAAAAAATTGTTGGCCATCGGAGCAGTCTCGTGGACCATTCGGTTCGCCGCCAGCGCAAAGATCAATGAAACGTTGGTGACAGCTCGTTACTCCGATTGCCAGTGTTTTCTTTTCCGGCCCCCTTTTCGGAAGCAGATCGGTTTTTGCCGGCTAAGCACCACACAGTCTTCACGATGTTAGAATAGACGAGTACACATGAGCGATGCTCGCGTAAGAGAAAATAAGGCAAATGTCAAGTAATTGATGCAAATTCACACGCTGCCACTTGTATCGCTCGTTCGAGTCACGCATACACGTCACCCATTCGGCGTACTCATGCATACACGATGAGACACGCATCAGAGATCGCATTAAATGTCTCCAAGTACACATGTCCACGCATACACGCGAATTCGCATAATTCGGGAAATAAGCACACGCGCGCGCACACGGGTTCATCACAGAACACGAGATCTGCAAGCAAAACTCTTTAACTAACTCTCTATATATGTGTCTATCTGTCCGAACTATATCTTCTCCTCGTCTTCTCCACTACCGCATAGGCGAAGACCTCTTGTACACAAGTAAGTCTAGCCAAAGCGCGGGTGTATATTAATATATTTATGCATTTCCTCTTTTGTATATACATATATATATTATTTACGTACACCGGCCGCGGTCGCGTTAATGAGAAATTTAGATCAAGGCGCACGCACGCGTTGCAATGCGTTTGTAGAAGCGTAGGTTAACAAACGCGGATTTTCATTAGTTTAAAACGCTATATTATATTACAGGTTCATTGCTACTGCCGATGAGGCGTACCTTTTGCACGTTTACTCGAACATCCCGCTTGATCTCTCCTTCATTTTCCGACTAGTTTCATCTTACAAGCAAGTGGGTCGAATCGGTAGATTGAGTTGTGAGATAAAACCCATCTTTTTAAATGTAGAGTATTATATAGACAATTGAATTATAAGATCTTAAAAATATCATACAATTTAATTCAATTCAATTTTTTTCCTTATAATTAAATTAAAAAAAAAAAAGGTCGTATTAATATCGAATAAAGAAAGAAATTATCTATATCAGTTTAAAGACGTCTCTGTTACAGTGAAGTTTAGCAATAATTCTTGCGATATTTTGAAAAACACGTATTTTTTTATAATAATCTCTGCATTAAAAAATTTGAGAATATATTTCCATATATTGCGTAATGTATATCGTCGTATAACTCGATTTGTCGATTGAACCTTCTTCTTGTTGGTCTCCATTAACATTATCTCTCCAGGAATGCTAAGAATTCTTGATGATTCGGCGTTTTATCGTGAACATCGAGAGGAACAGAGAATTGTATTTCGCAATTGCAATTCCTGTTCGGAAATGCTTCCTTGGAAAGATCGTGTCAAAGGAGATTTAACTTTGACTTTTCGAGCGAAAACGAGTGCCTCGCGACATCCGTAGCCCCTAATTAACGTAGTGTTATTTTGCTCAACGGACTTTGAGTAAGTACGCGTAAAGTGGAGTTTCACACGTGCAATATATTATATTTCCACTCGCCTCTCTCATACCGTCGGTCTCGATAATGTCAGTTGCAAATAGACACAGGTCGCAATTGACGCATCTCGTCTCGTCATGGCGAGCTAACGTCAGAATCCATTTTCCCGTCACTTCCCCTAAAAAAACGGATTTTCCTTGCGCTTTTAGTAGAAAAGCTCTATAATCTTTCATGCACTCTTTTTCAATTCCTCTCGAGCTTTTGCAAAATCTTTGTCGTTTTGCACGTGAACTCTCTTTCCCCGAGGATGCAAAGCGTGCACTGACAATGCCGAGTAAATATTCACTCTGTAAGGTCATATATTGCATGCTTAGAGCACTATATATTACAATACCGTAACGTGAAATGGACACGACGGATTGTTCTTTGTTTTGTGCATTGATGAGAAATAAAAAGTAAAATTTGTTAACAGCGAAGGAACTGATATCGTCGTGTCTTCTTCACTTGCGTCATTTTTAGCATGAAATAGAAATAGTTTGGGCACACTGCACGTTTATAATGGTAGATCGATTTTAGTATCATGTCGTATAATGTTCCCGCAATATGGACGAAGATGCTTCGAAAATATTAAAACTCCTATAAAATCTTTTCTGACCTCATTCGTCCACGTTGTCGCGAACTGTATCTTAATCGTTAGAATTTAAAAAGCACATTTGTCTCTCTACAATTTTAATGTTTATAGATTTATTAGCAATACTGAAAGGCCGTTTCAGCTTAATATTATAAACGTTACATTATATTTAATTGTTATATATATTCGATGTATATATCAATTAATATTAAATTATATTGTATATAAACTATATCGTAAATTTAATCGGTGGTTTAAGTTATGACAGATCAGATTATAATATTTCTACATTTTTGTTATTGTTTTAGATTTTAGCGCAAGGTAAGAAAAGTTATTTTTCCGCAATTTTTTCTTAGTAAGTACCATGAAAATCCGTTGTAATAATTTCCGAATTGTCGTAACGCTGAAACGGAACTTTACTTCTAGAAGTTAAATTGCAGATTTAGTACTGTCCAACGATAGTGTAGCAATTAGGCTTTAGGTAATTAGTTAGGGTAGCTAACATGTGTAGTGGTTTGTTACAGACGACCACCATCCTCCCCCCACATTCACTCCGCCAGAACTGCCCAAGATGGTTCACGTAAGAGGTACAGTTACACCTCAATCAAAAACCATGCTACAGTCTCGCAAGCTGCCCTTTCTAATTTCGCGATCGACAATATAACACGAATACACTAACGAAAAGTCGCTTGATAAATAGTAACCAAAAGATACTAAAGGCAAACGTAAAAAGAATTATCACTCTCTTCGGAAGTTTGATACGCTTTGTCAAACATGCTTGAGCGATTAGTTATTGACACGTTTTGTTTGATTAAGCAATAACAATTACAATTTTTTTATTTTATTGCTGAAACGTTGGAGAAAGTAGGGAAAAGCTAATAAACAATGAAATGTCATAATTTTTTTATTCTTATCTTATATAATACAGCATATGATTATGTATGCTTGCATATTATTCTCATGTATACTACTTTCTCCATTATTATGACAAATGCATGCAGCTGACTTATAGATCCGATAACCGTTTATATTTTCCATTATTATATTTCTGTATGAGTGTAGTAAACATTTAAATTTACATTAATTTCTATTGTGGTATCTTTTAATGACTATTGGTTTGGAAATCGTGTTTATGACATAAACTTATGTTCTATATTTGAGATAAAATATTATTTTTTGTTTTATATTAAATTCATTAAAATTTTAAAATTTATTAGATTTTGCACAAAATATACTTTTAGTATAGTTGCAATAGTATTTGGTAGTCTTATAGAATTGATTTTTAATACAATTTATTTATATTTTACTTTATGATCAATCTATAAAGTGTTTAATATATATTTTGCGACATAATCAGATCTTACTGGACAAAAAAATGTAATTAGTTTTATAGAGATTGACTTGTTAAGTAATCCCAGTAACTCTTTTAATGTGTATAGAATTACGTGACGGATCGTTTCTATCATTTTTAAAAGCATTGATACAGTTTTTACGAGAAAACGAATAAACAGGCAATTTCAACTTATCATTATTTATAAGAATATGTTTTGCTATATAATTTAATTCTTTTATAAAGTGATGAATATTTTCAAAAATTGCAATGCGAGAATATTAAATATATATAAAATAATAATAATATTAAAATTGTTGAAAATGAATTAAAATTGCATAATTACATTTAGTAATTAAATTGCTCAAAACATTTATTGGTGCTCGTCTGCGTAAGTAATAAATCTCGTTTAATTGCACAAACGTTTCTCATACTTTTACGTCAATTTATTAAATGTAATTAAATGTAAACCTAAATATGTGATAAAATATAGACCCTTCGCAATTTTTTTTTATCATGATAAATTTTTCGCGGTAAATTTTTCACGAATGTTTAATGTATTAATATAAAGTAGATACAATTAGATGCCATTTTCAAATTAAAGTATTTTTTGACAAAATCTGTTTGAGAAACGTTATTTTAGCACAAGTATTTTTTGCTAAATTAAATTCATTTTGTAATTTTGTATATGATAAATAGAAATTTTTTATTTCATATATTTAGAGATGCTTGTTCCACGATTGACTCGTTGACTTGTGAAACGCGTTTTTCAGGTTGATAATAAGGTTGTTGTTTTAAATTTTTAAAGATGAACTTATAGTTGTATGTAGCACGGTAGATTAATATATATAATGCACTTTATAATTTTATTTCATTATTTACAGAAAATAATTATTCAAGAAACTACCGCGATACACACTATATATTGTTCTCGTAAATTTTCATAGTGCTACAATAGCTTGCGATTACTTTTGAAACAAATATTGTTTAATTACATAGCTCCAATAAATTAATTTTTTTTCTGTATTTAACACGTTACACTTTAGAAAAAGGTAATGTATTATATTTGGGGTAAAATATTTAACGTTTATTATTTTACAATAGAATTGGAGAATTTTTAAAAATAATTTTTAGAAAATAATTCGTACATTACATTTAGAATTACATGATGAAATTTTAATAGAAATAGAATCAGTTAATTTAAAAATAATAAAGAAGAGATGGGGTTTTATCTTTAATTTATAAATTTATGATATTTATTTTATTAATAAAAAAAAGTGTTTATAATATGAAAAAATATAAAAAATTTGTGTAAAATTCTTTGTAATTAAAAGGTTTCTATTTTGATTGGCGCCATTCATGATTAATTTCTTGACATATGCAAAACACATGTGTAGGGTGAAGTATGCGCGCCTGTAAGCATGGGGCTGTAGGCTCATCATCACGGAAATAATATACGCTGTAATGGGGGGAGTTAGGTCACGATCAGTGTGACACTCTATCGTCTTAATCATTGTTGCTTTGCCTACTATTGACAGCAAATAGGATGCTCAGATTTGGAATTAACACTGTTTTATCCATTTTAGGTGAGATCAGCCGCGAACGAGACGATCCAAGTGGTAAGTCTCAACTACAAGTCGTATAATTTTAACTTAATTAATTAAGAATTATTATTAACCAGTTGTTTAACGAGAAATATATGATTATGAGAATTTTGCATTTGATAGTTTGTTTATCTCATTTTTTCACCATCGATATTATCACAGCGATAACATTGATATCCCGTTATGTTGCAGCCATGAGAAATCATCGGAACTCCGTCGGGATGACTATGATGAATTCGACAAAGCAGGTTAACAAGGTGAAACCGAACGTGAATCGAGCGACGAATGACAGTTTGTCCAGCCCGAATCAGCCGTATAATCAGAGGTACCTAATTATTCTGCGCGTTGTAACTTTATCGTCATTTAACGCATCCAAACATCATTCACTTACATCATCATATATATATAACACATCTCCATTCGTAATCATATTGATGACCAGAGTATTCAATGACATGTCTGTTTTGCACCTAATCAAAGCAACACATACGAATTTCACTACTGAGAATTACTGATAAAAGAAGAAGCTGCGTGAAAAGCGATCTTCTTATAGAAACGCCGTTCGAATTTCTTTACTCTTTCTTTTTTTTTGTATTTATGTCACTTTATAGCGAGACCTATGGTGCACTCGACATTTAATACTGACACATTGTAAACAACGAATCGCTTTTTCTTCTGAAACGCTTGAACGTAAATATTTTCCTAAAGTGCGCTCTAATCTTTCTCTCTATTCTGTCGTACAACGTATTATTTTACACTTTATAAGCTTACATATGTATTATCTATAGTTGCACGATTAGAGTTACATAGACTTCTTCACGCGTATTATATAGGGGTTATTCAAACTGAAATAATGGAATTCTGGTTGGAACAAAGAAAAACAGAATGTTGCCAAGCTATTCTGTGTGTGAGAATTTTTTTTAAACACAATATGTTGCGCAATACTCTCTAATTGACGAATTGATGGCAACATATTTTGAATAAGCGTGTAAGCTAAACGTTATTAATCCGTTAATAAGACCTATTTTAATCGAGTGCACTAAAATGATCTGCACATTAATGTATCAACAATCTCTGTGCATTCATTTTTCTCCGATTAGCATGTTTCTAAAACTGTCAAACGTATGAGCCATGTAACCCGCAATGATTTAACGTGCGCCAATTCTCGGTAGAGATCTTCGATGCGATCCAGAATCATTCATCCACGCGAATATAATTTTTCATCTTTATTCATGAATCAGCGAAATTAGGAAAGAGATATTTTGACATGTAATTATCGAATAGTTGAATTATATAATTGTCTGTCTAATTTTTTATATTTCGAAAAATATTGTTGTTTCTTGTATGCGTGGAACATGTATATAGCCTAATTAGAGCAATTATTTTTAATTAGCTTAAGAATCATATAATTGCATAATAAAATATTACATCAGAGACAATCCTGTTGGAAACGAGAAAGATCGTTGTGCTTTCTATCGTTTCCGTCAATTGTTGACAAAAGGCGCGATACATTTGAACGACAAACGATTCGCATAAATCACGAGAAAAATCGTTCGCGCGAGAAAGATAGCTACTATCGTACTACTATGCTATCGGACGGTGCGAGTTATAGGCTACAGGTGGTCGTTGACATTTTCCGATGAACCTGTTACACACGTTCGCTAGATTAGTTTCCACAGTTTCTGCTATTATTCGAAAAGATTTGAGCGTTTGATGCCTTTTGCCAATAAACGTACCGTTCGTACTCTTTTGCAATAAATCTTATTATTGACAAGCTTGATTCGCGTTTCGTAAGCCATAATATTTTATTTTACAATTAACAGAAAAATCGGATAATATTGTACTGATACAATTGCTTAAAGAATCATTCATCACCGTCATCATTATGTCTTTCTCATCTTGGAGCAGAAAATCAGAAAAAGTTATCTGAGAAAACAGATCCAACGTTATGCAACCTTCTGATTCCAGATCGCAAGAGGAGTCCGCATACGCTGGCTACCATCTCGCCTACGAAGTCAAAAAGCTCATGTACGCTTCTGTTGTTAACGCTACCTTGTATTGTGACGTGATTATGCGACTGCTTTATCCTACTACTATTTAATAATAAACATGCTCCTTGCATGTCGAGTAATATTCTTGAGTGATGATCTGCGACAAAATATTTATATTAAGCCTGGAAACGGATATATCTCACTCTTACGATAAACAATAAACTAAGAATATTATGCATTTCTATTTAAAATTTAAGTTTCATTACGAAATTAAGAATTTGATATCAGTAGGAGTGAATCATAAAACAATCAAATTTGTAGATTTTATTTGCAATTTATGAATTTTTTTATACGTTTAATTTTCTGTGTAAAAATAATTTTCAATATTTTTTTACATTTTATCATCTCTATTATTTTTCCAAAAAAATAGTCATTATTTTATTATACTATTCAAAAAAATCAATTGTATAATTTGCGTTCTTTCCTGGGCATCATCCCCTTAATCTTAATAGTTAACATAAAACGTTAGTCTATTGATATGCATCGTAAATCGATCTTTCTACTTTACAAATTTTATGATAACATAAGATAAATTATTAGCGACAGCCGGATCTAAGTACCACAAACGGACAGTATATTGCGCTTGCTGTTAAATTATCCATCGCCAACATTACATGTTTGAAGTTGCGCACCGCGTTACAATTACATGTCGCTGTCGCAGCGCAAAAAGTATAAAAGTCCACGAGTTTTACGAGGATACTTAATCTCGGAGAACATGTGCGACTGACATTAAAAACGCTCGTAAAATACGTGAGTGTCATATGTGGGAATGTGTGCAAAATTTTCGCGTAACACGTTCAAGAAATAACTCTACATCGATCGATGTTTCTTATACTTAAATAAATTTAATCGAATTTTTTTAATTTCCAACGAGCTATGCAATTTTCACGGCAACGTAAATCTAAATAACACCCCATAAACTTCAATTTCGTAGGTCATTTTAGCCACTCCATGATATTCGCTATTGAAGCGCAAAATTCTAAATTTTACAGAGGCAATTCTGTTTATTACACAATCACTGTATTTATATGCACGCAGTAAAATAGCTTAATATCTCCGAATATTTCTTTTATATTTTTTTATATTTGCTTTAATCTATAATAATCTGTTATCTAACTCATCGTTTTAAGATGTAAAAAATAACAACACAGTAGTGCTACACGACATAAAATTATATGGTGCGTATGAAATGCATGCGAAAGTGTGGCTAATTTTTTCGTTTTTTTTTTATTTGACAAAAGTTTTCAAAGAAATTCTGAGTGCAATTTCTTTAAGATTTTCTATCGATATCTTCTATTATCGATTAGTGTAAAACTATTGTTTCTTCATTATGGTTCTTCCATAATATAGTTGACAATGACAGTTTCACATCTGTAGCTTCATTCATATACTCGCAAAATGTGATTTTTTCAGGCCAACGAGCAGAGCCTCGGGTGGCACGAACGTCAATAACAATGGTGGTCTTCAAGTCGGGATCGCTGACGATCAAGCGAAAGATTTCGATTTCGAGAAGACCGAGATGAAATACGACTCGACGGGGATGTTCCATTGGAGTCCCTCTCGCAACCTCGAAGACTGCATACTGGATCGTAACCAGGCGGCGATGACAGTCCTCAATGGACACGTTGTCGTCTGCCTGTTCGCCGATCCCGACTCGCCTCTTATCGGACTGAGAAACCTTGTCATGCCATTACGAGCTTCCAATTTTCATTACCACGAGCTTAAACACGTAGTGATAGTCGGATCGGTGGACTACATACGCCGCGAGTGGAAAATGTTGCAGAATCTACCGAAGATATCGGTTCTAAATGTGAGAATCTGTTCTTGTTCAAGTATTTCGCGTAGCAACGTTTTTTTTTTTTTTTTTTGTTATCATATAATACAGTACGTCTCAGACTTGCAGGAAGAAATGCCTGTTTTTTTTTCGGCTACAGGTTTTTTCTTAAAGGAGCCAATTTTTTTCTAATATAAAAGTGTAATCATATTATTTGTAATAATTTTTTGATCTATCTCTCGCAATATATAGACGATTAAATTACAAATTAAATTTATATTAAAAAAATAAATGAAAACTTTGATTTAATAAACTATTTTAATTTTAATGGTTAAATATAATGCGATATTAGATAATATCATAGTTTTTTATTAATGCCTCGAAGTTATAAAAGCCACCAGAATTGTATTTCCGATATTTAGTCTGTTTAGGAAAACGCATCTACACATCGCGCATTATATGTCCGAAGATATTTCAAAAATCGTTAACTGTTACAAGATTTTTATATCCAATATTAATGAATTAGCGAGAAAACTACAAAGCACGATGTTAACGCCAAATGATGATAATGAAAAATAATTTTTATGGGTGCGATAAAAATTCTTTGTTTTTCTACATTTTTTATTTTGCTCGAATGATGTTTCGCAGGGTTCGCCATTAAGTAGAGCCGATTTACGTGCCGTTAACGTGAATCTATGTGACATGTGTTGCATCCTGTCGGCAAAAGTGCCTAGCAATGATGACCCCACCCTCGCCGACAAGGAGGCCATCCTCGCGTCCCTCAATATCAAGGCTATGACTTTCGACGATACAATCGGCGTGCTTAGCCAAGGTACGTTCGATGATATTCCATCACCATTCGTACAAAATAGAGAAATCTTACTTTAAAACTATGTATATTATATATTAAATAAAAAATACAAATTACAACAAATAATGAACAAAATAATTTAACTTCCAGTTGGCAGCCCAATCGTTTTGCAGCGGCGGGGATCCGTTTACGGAGCAAATGTGCCAATGATTACAGGTAATGAAAAAGATTCTATCAAATATTTATATTTTTATATACATGATATTGTTTTAATGTATGAAAATAAAAACTTTCGAATATCATCATAATTAATTAGACATTTGATTATGGTATTAAAAGAAAATGCTATTTTTAAGAAAAACAGTTGTCATTTTGAAATATTTCTCACACAGACACAGAAAGTTTTACATTATCATGACAAATAAAGTGTCAAAGTTGTACTGATTGTCGTTCATTGCTGTTTCAGAACTTGTAAATGATAGCAACGTGCAGTTCCTTGACCAGGACGACGACGATGACCCGGACACGGAACTCTACCTCACACAACCATTCGCCTGCGGCACTGCCTTCGCAGTCAGTGTATTGGATTCTCTCATGTCGACGGTCAGTGTTAAAAATTCATTGTTCCGACCGTGTGTATAGCCGTGGATCAATAATACATATATTTTTCAAAACACGTTTATTCTCGCGATAATTTTCAACATTCTCGCTTTTCTTAAAATGCAAACATAACACGAAAACGAAGATTATATCTAGTTTTATCCACTTTTGCAGACATACTTCAATCAAAATGCGCTGACTCTGATTCGGTCACTGATCACCGGTGGAGCTACACCCGAGTTGGAATTGATCTTGGCTGAAGGGGCAGGTTTAAGGGGAGGTTACAGGTTAGATGTTGGGAATATTTGTTATCTATTTTTAATTTTTCGGAAATTATCTTGATATACGTTATTTAACTTTGCAGTACGGCAGATAGCCTGTCCAATAGAGATCGGTGTCGTGTTGGTCAGATCGCGTTGTACGACGGGCCATTGGCTCAGTATGGCGAGGGAGGCAAGTACGGTGACCTCTTTGTCGCAGCATTAAAGTCGTACGGAATGCTGTGCATTGGTCTGTACAGGTACAGGTATCGAACTTTTTTCCCTCTCTCGATGGTATTTATTGGATTACCCTTACGCACATTCTACATACATTGTATATATTACCGTTTGAGAACAGCGACTTCTCCGATTGCCGCCATTATTGTACCGCCGTTTATTATCTCTTACTACTCACGTATACTATGCGACTTGATTATGATTTTCTTGCCGCACACCTTTTGCACTTTGCGTTTTTGCATCATCAAAACGAAATTAATGAAGCAACGATTGTAAGTTGCCCTCATCCAAAAAATACCTATCATTTTTTACTATTCTCTCTCTTTCTGTCTTTGTGTCATCTCGTTGTTTATTTAGCGTTTATTTATCTGTTACATACGTCCATTGTTTAGTTTAGTTTAGCTTAGTTCATATTTTAGTTTAGCTTAATACTTAGCTCAACCTTTTGATTAGTTTAGTTATATACTTGATGTATATATAGTTACAGCTTGTGTTTTTGTCGACGTACGCGCGTTATATTCTTACTCGCTGACATGTACTTGAATCTTTTAGGTTTCGAGACACTAGCTCGTCGTGCGACGCCTCTTCCAAACGATACGTGATCACAAATCCACCCGATGACTTCACATTATTACCCACAGATCAGGTACAGTGTTTTAAATAATCATATTACATTTCTTTCAAAATTTACAGCAAATTGTAAAACTATTTATTAACACAGAAATCCAATAATTTATACGTAATTGGCAATTTTACAAATTAATATCACATTAACAAAAAACACAGATTGAACGAGCAAATAAAATTGTTTTATCCGCTAATTTTAAATTGCCAGGTTTTCGTGCTGATGCAGTTCGATCCGGGTCTTGAATATAGACCGAGCAGAGGTGCCCGAGGCAAGGACGACTCCTCCTGATTGTTGCTGTGTAGCGCCCTCACCGACGGACCATATTCCTACATCTAATCATGCGTTAGAAATCATTGTGCCGCCCGTCGTCCCTGTAACTGTCTCATCTTCGTCGAGGAACACCATCGTCGTATGATATCGCGCATCATCAATGAGTTATTACCGTTCGCAAAAAGCAGTGAATTGCAGTCGTATTAATTTTTTTTTTCCGATTCATCGATATATACAATGACAATAGGAATATTATTCAAGCTTCTCGAGGATCGATCACTTCTCGAGGATTTCGTTTTACTTTGTTTGCCGTGTAATGCGATTGTTTTTATCGAATCGTCGAATATCTCGGAAATTGATGCGCGATCTGGTGGACAAAGACTCGGGAGCCTAACAAACGAGTATTATATCGAAGTGAGAGGACGAGGAGAATAGAATAAAGAGAATATGCGAGGGGAAGAGGACGCAAAGGGACAACGGAAAGTGGCATAATGCTGTGCGGTCTGAGGGTAGCTACACGTCTCTCTTTCTTTATTCGAGCTAACATAAGAATAATCGTCTTCGCCCGAAGACGATGCTGTCAGGACTGAATGAAACATTTCGCAAAGCGTAATCACTGTGTTATCAAACTCCCATCGGCCCTCCTCAACCGGGAACGAGGAAAGTGGACGGTGGGGGAGGGAATGGGGATATAGCTTAAAGTTTTAGCACGTGGCTTAGCCTCGATGGGCGCTGTGGAATTGCAGTATCCTGTGCGCGGTGGAAACGAAAGAACACTTGCCGTCGTAGTATAATTCATCTCGGCTCGTGTTAATGTATATAATACGCATCTAAAAGAACACCGTTGTTCAACGAGCGAGCTGTGAGAAGGCGACGAGGGGAGACCCGTAGAAGTTCAGCGAACTGGATTCGTTCGTCCAACGTCTCGTCTCATCTCGAGTGAGATTCCTCTCGTCGTCTCTCTCATAGACGATGCCGGATTCGGTGCGAATCGAATGCCGGGGCAAACGTAATGCCGGACTACTACGCGCAATCCTTACCTCGTGTGTCTTGTTTTATGACTAATGAAACAAAAAAAAAAAAAAATCTCAATCAGAAGCACTTTCTACAGGTTCTATATATATGTATATATATACGTATATACATATAGATATAATTACGATAAAGTACCCTTTTCCACACACAACTTTAAGTATAAAAA